ACATTAAAGTCTAATTATTATTATTATAGTTCATATTTTGTCTCAGGTCGAAAATAAAGGAGAAAAGGTGGTTTGAATTTAAGACCAAAACATGTTGCGGAAAATGTAAAGAAAATTAATATGAATAGTCAGACTGATAGAATAAAGTTGTGTAGACGGAACCAAATATTTTCCCCTTCGTGTTGACTTCCTGAGAAGCTGATGGTTACTCAGGTAAACCATCACATACCCTTTATTTTATGCAACACTGTCGTATTCACGATTGCCTGAGAAACATATTTCAGTTCGCACTCGCAGAACCGATAATTAAAGATCCATTTTAATATTATTCTCGTATCTAAACTTATCTTATTTAACTGATCTGTTCCCTTTAGGTTTTCCGACTAAAAGTTTGTGCACTTTTTTCTACCGAAGCGAGAAGATAAAACAAATGTTTCTTCAGAACCTGTAAAGAGACATACTTCCACCACATTCGAGTAAATGAAGACACTTTGTTTTAATTTGACATGGTTTTTACTATGTTTTGATAGCTCCATTAAATAAGGTAATGTAAAACAAATTAGGGGTAAATTAATATTACGTTCAGATGTATTTATTTATTCCTATATATAGGTTTAATTACAGTACTCAAAGGGCTTCATAACTTGCGTTTCTCACTTACCTGCTTGACGATGGTTAGTGAATTCTTGTCTATGACGCCGTGTAGTTTTGTAGGTTAATCCCTGAAGCTTTAGTTTTCTGAGAAACATTGGTAAAATATTTACAAGACGTCGAATGATCCGGTGTGACTAGTAGTGTGCCTCCGGACCGTTAAAATTGGAGTAATGTAAAATACATGCTAATAATATATAATAGAATAATAATTATAATGTGTCATTATTAAATGTGCTAGCATCGTTCTTTTGAGAGGGGAGGATTTAATGATATTGCATTTCCGCAAAACCTGACTTTGAGGCCATGTTTCTTCACTGATAAGACTGCACGGTGTCGTAACCGGAAGACAATTCAAGTGTTTACTGTCGTGACCGTCACATTCTCACGGACTTTTGTGTGAGGTTAAGTTGGGCTGCACATGTGGCGCGATCTTCTGGTCAGTTCATTGTTTGGACCTTCGTGATCTCTATTCTCTGTAAAAGTAGGAAATTTGTGATCACCTAACTTTCCTATAACAGCTGTCAGAAAAACCCCTTCAATGTGGAGTTATTAAATAAATTTTTAGTAAAAGGTTATGTTGTCTCTACTATTAGGTTATTTTAAAAGCTTTTATACATTTAATTTAAATTTTAACAAAGACAGCTACTTTTATCGTAAGGAAAATTTAATTATTGCATTTCGTATTCTTTTGTTTTTTATGTTTTACATTTATTTGCCAGACTCATTCATAATCTTGACACTTAGAACAGTTACTTGCTGACCTAAAGATGGACTAGTATTTCCAAAACAAGTCGGGCAGCAAAGCAAACGCCAAAACATCTGGTAAATGAGTTCATAGGGCATTAATTTATAAATGTTTTTGTGTGGGGACAGTTACTTAAAATGAACACGTCTGTGGTACTTACTAAGCACAGCGCCGTGCAGATGTGTGAGCGAGTCGACTTTGTAGCTTCACGCATTATTAACGCCGTCGCTAGATGGAGGTGGTCAGGATGGAGTATTTATTCCGTTGTCGAACGGTGAAAGGGATACATCAGTTAGGTTAACCTATAAGACAGTGATACCAATGGGTGAATTAACGCTAATATTAGGTGCCAATAGGTGTACGGAATTCTGTATAGACATGGATTGTTAACCCTTAATGTAATTCAAGTCTAAAGGATTTTGACGATGGTCGATTACACTTAAAAATTATTGATTGTCTGTACTTTTTCTATCGTCCTTGTTTAAAAAAAGAAGAAACTACGACGTTTCGGAAAGTGGCTCTGTTTCCAAAAGATTCGTGGTTTCTTTCTTAAAAAGTGCAATGCCAAAGCCAATCTCACTTGACTAGGGCCACCACGTGCATTTTGAGATTGAGAATGACGTTCTTACGGGTTTTGGTGCCGTGTATACAAGTCGGTACATGCCAACATTTCGGAGAAAAATACTGTCTCGCCGACGAGTCTACACGATGCTACAACCCAGAAGGCAGCCATCTTCGGACTAGCCGCCGCATAAACCTCGTATCCTGCTAACTTTGGTTATCTGTGCAGATAAAAGAATCAAAGGACAAGTTCGGAAACGTAAGTACAGAGGGAAAATTCTGGCCCCGCCTCAATTTGGTCTTTGACCTTTGCGTATGCCACCTGTGCCGTCAAAGTTTGTTGTTGGCGATAACCTTTGCGTGTATTTGGCTAGTGATTACGTCATAACGGATAATGTCCCGCGTGAATGGCCGGTTGGCTGGGAATTCCCCGGGTGGTGATTCTCCGTCCACACACGCCGTAGACACAACCACTTTGCAAAGTTGCTAAATGAATAAACAACGACGATGATAAGAATTCGGAAAACAAAACTTCAGTATGAAGATTGACATCTTGACATCTTCTAGTCGTGAAGATATTTACCGACGTTTCATTGGAATTTATTCCCTCTGTCATCGTAGTTTGCCACAGACAGCAAGTACCTCTGAAACGTCGGTCAGTTTCTACGATAATATACGATTAAACATCGCAGAAGACAGACAACTTTTTATTTCTGGTTGTTTGGATCTGATAATCTCTACCACCTGGGATACCAATGCTCTGTCATAAATACAGAAAGATAATGAGAAATGGAGAAAGAATTAATTGAAATGGACCGCCACAGAATTAGAAAGAGAGGTAGGGATGGCCTAGGATCACGCACAGGTAAAGGGATGGATAGAGACGGATGCAATTAGGGCAGAAAAGGAAAGTGAATAAAAAATTCAAGTTCGAGATGTCTGTTGCTCTGACAATGAGAGAAACAACAGTAAGGCCGGCAGTCAGTACCCAGAGGAGTAAGACAAGGCATGTTGTGTTGCTGCGAGCCCAAATACTGGAGCTCCGAGAATTTCCTGCAGAGTCAATACAAAGAGAGCATAATACAGAGAGATCCTGGTAATCCCATACGAAGAGAACCGATTAACCATGTGTTGGCTTCATTCATTCTTCCTTCCTTCTTTCCGTTGAGTACGATGCATGCAGAAAGAGAGAATTTGTTCACTGGATCGTGGCGAGTGACTTCCGACAGAAGCTCGTAGGTACGTCGTGTCAGGACCAGATTCAGTCAGCAGGCTGTCTCAGGTGGTTAATCACAGTCTTCTGAACCATCTTCGCGGAATCCATTGCGGCCAAGTTGGTACTGGGACAGGCTTCTCTGAGTTCTTCGGTTTTCCCCTGTCAGTATCATCCCGTCGATGCTCTGTATTTACTTTTATCACCTGGGAGACGGACAAAGGACCTGCTCAGAAGTCCGGTTCCACAGAGACATGGAAGTAGAAGGTTCATTACAGGGTTTAGTGAAACCTTTCCTGAGCCAGTTCAATGCATGTCACACCTCACATGTTATTTGTGTAATGTGCACTTTAAAATATTATACTCCCACCTATGTCTAGGTTTACCAAGTGGTTTCTTTCCTTTAAGTTTCTCGATGTTGAAGTTGTTTTCATATCTCTTGCCCCCACCCCCAATGTGTGCATCATATTTTGTTCACCTCAACCCTTGATTTGATCACCCTAGTAATTTTTGAAAAATTGTAGGCGTACCAATTGTGAAACCTTTCATCATAAGCCTATGTACATATTTTTAACCTTCCTGGTTTCTTAGTAGAAACATTGTATTACTAAATTTTACTACGAATTTGGCGATTTACTGGTAAAAATGCACAGCGAGGTCGGCTGCTGTATGATTTTAATCATTTCCTCCAGAAGAAAAGTCCTAAAATACGTTCACAGCCACAACTCGTATCTTTCTTTCATTAGTTTACTTCGTGTGGCATGTCTCGAGTGGTTGATTTCCTGTAAGCTTAAATGTCTTCCTTTTATACTTTTATGTTAATTAGTAACTCACAAACTAATAGACCCTGTTCTGATCATTGATACTATCAGACATTAAATATTCCGAGCAAACAAGGCCAGTGATTTTAAACTGATCTGTCGTCCGTAGCGTATAAAGGGCGAACTAATCTGATACAAATAACAGCTGTGTTTATTTATAGTTGTCCCCGAATTTTATTCTCAAAATCTGTTACCGGATCATGCCTGAAACTATGCAATACCCAGTGGGTTAATTTTGCTAAGTACCAAATCTTAGTAGTTTTGGACTCGTGTGTGATCGGACCTAGATACGAATGAACAAATCCAAACATTTGGATTGAGTTGTATCTTCAGGTTCATTTTGCTGGTGATTAATAATGCCTTCTGAAATATCGACTGATCTCAGCATTATTCTTGTGCTAATCATTCGACTGTCCGAGATGAAATATCACTTTATCTTGATTAATGACTCTGGAATACGATTTGCTGAAGTAGAGACTAAAATCTTTCTAATTTTGTTACAACTTTAGTGGTCAGAAATACTCAAAACAACAGAACAACGTTGGGGTTACGTGTTGATGTTTGTTATCAGAAATACTCAAAACAACAGAACAACTTTGGGGTTACGTGTTGATGTTTGATGGTTTTGTTGTTGTGTGATGACGCTGTATCTGTTACTGAAGTTATGTAGTGTCGATTTAAATGTTGTAGGTAGATTGTGAGAATGACGAATCTGAAGGAGTACTCATTTTATATTCACTTTACTATCGTTGTTAAAACTGCATGTTATTAACACTTTGTATTTTCTGTGTTGACTTCCTTATAAGAATAGAGGCTGATTTTTGTTAATTCATATTTTTAGATGAGAGTTTACATTTCTTATAAGTAAAATAACTAATAACTTAGATATTAATAGATTCTAGGAGAGTTAATTTTAATGATATGTGTTCAAAAGTGTTTAAAGCGGAGTTTGCATGAGTTTGTGAGCTTTAGCTGGTTCATAATTTCTTCTCTGTATTGTTACAGAAAAGTTGGGTCGCCGCCATGTTCATCTGAAGGTAAGAAATATTCTTTTTCTTGATACTATAGTAAATATACTTGCGTGGCGGCAGAAATGTTGGGCAAATTTTAACCACCTGACATGGCTAGTAGTCCGAGGAGAATTTATTATACTTGGTCGCCGTGAAAACTCCAGAGCATACAAATTTTAACAGTTTTTTTTATTCTTCCTAATTTCTTACAACAAATGGTACGGGCATTTACTTACTTAAGGCAACTATAAAGCCGTGAAGACCTCGTTATTTAGATATATTTGCTTGCGTTATATCTACCCAAATAATGACTGGGTTAGTCGCTTATAATAGTCCTGTCCAGGTATTGGCATTTATCAAGTGCACTTTTTTTAGGTTTATAGTCTATTCAAATTTTGAGTGAGACTCAGTACCATTATAATGAATTTTGTTAGAAGTCTAAATACAAATTCTATCTGAGATTTCATGTTCCCACGGCAGCAAGTATGATGATAGCTGTGTCCTGGGT